AAAACACCGCACCGACAACAATGATCTATGAGTGGGCTGCGTTCCTGGGGGGGGTGGGTGGGCCGTTGGCGGTTGGGGGGGGGGGGAGGTCACACTTGCTCGTGAAGCAGATTTCAGTGGCGCACTTATTTGGAGCAGTGTTCGGCCTAATCCGTGAAAAACGGAATTAAACACGCCTCTAATTCGGGGATGGGCGTCCACGTACTCGTGGCTTAGCTGAAGCCGGCTTTCCGAGGGCTTTTATACGTTCTGTACTCGCACCAGAAATGGTTCCACTACCCCCCCGATGAAGTGATGCAATAGCTGGAAAGCTGCTTTTGTACCCGGGGGGGGGGGGGGGGTTCTAGCCCAAGGGTATCACAGCAGCCATTTCCCATGTTTGCCGGCACGGGGAGTGTGTCCACTCTGAACTTTCGCCTGCCAGACAAGCAGTGCTTTACCGAGACCCAGTTACTCTCCTCGTCCAGGGACGGTGATGGTTTTTTCCCAGTCCTGCTGCCATGCTGCAGTTTTATACCCTTTTGGTTAGTGGCTGGAGTCGGAATGAAAAAATCAAATGGCAAAGCTGGTCCGTGCGTGATTAGTGTGGGTCCTTCTTGTGGGTCGATGGGAATCGCGTTTGTACACCACCTTCATGTAACACTAATCCCCAAACACAGGGGATCGTGTCATGGCAGTGGGGGCGGGACGTCCTTAGTGGTAATCAGGGACGCCCGAAAGGGGATGACTTTCAGGGACCCGGACACTAGAGGGAGCCCACGAGAAATGCAGCGGTCGGCGAGAATGACGTGGAAAATAAATCGCTGAATTAGAAGTTTGCTGAATGAAATACACATTCAGTAAAACCAATGGATATTGGGAGTCTTGGTTTATGAAAGGTTAAGGGGGTGGGGGTCATTTGATAGAATTTTTCAGGGGCCCAGCCATGTCTTTGGTCATTCCATTGCTGAACTGGGGGGGTCATGGTAATTTTCCCAGCTGGTTAACCCAGTGTCACCATCTGGCTTCAGACAGGTCAGCAAAAGCTTAAAAGAAGACGTCACATTTCACACCCTGTACTCGCAAGGAAAAAAAATACACAAAATGGCTTATGAATGTCTATTACCGTAATAAATTGAATGAAACGTCCATTAGCATAATGAGCTGAATGAAAGACCAAATTCATAATTCCATTGCAGGGCTATTGAGCACAACCTGTTAACTCATTTCGGTTGGATAAGCAGCCAACCGGAAACATGCCAGTGTTGTTATTAAAAAAAATGTACAGCTGTGTTTACTTTTTAAGATCGGTTCATTTTGAGGGGAGAGTGGTTGTTTAATTGTATTTATAAATGGTGGCTGATGAATACCATCTCAGTGTTTCTGCCCTCGTCCTGTCTGTCATTCTGCTCCTCTTCCGGGTTTTATTATCTCCTAGTCAGGGGGGCCTTCGAGGGAGGAAAGTTAGACGATTCTAAGGGCCCCGGAGTGACAGGGACGCTAAAAAATATTGGAAACATAACTGGATTGGGGCCCTTTAAGATGTGCTTTCCTGGGGCCCAAAATCCCCAGCGGCGCCCCCTGCTGCCAGCGTGTGAATAAGGTAAATATTGGGCCTCTGTGATAGGAGTGATTCTTCGTATGGTCTTTACCTAACCCAGGTCCACAGGACAGGGCAGTGAAGGGCCACAATACCATTAGATTTGCTACAGGTATGACATAAGTTAACCTGGACTCAAAAAGCCAAGACTGACTGAACAGTGTGGCTGCTGTGTCATGTGGCTTAGATCATGTGGCATGTAGATCATAATACTAGTTTCCATTTCAGCTCCATGGGAGAGCCTTGTCCATAGAGTCACTCACATAAGTACCCATTTGTATAAATATTATATGGGTACCGTACTTTTAGTCACTTCAGGACGAGCATCCAGTGAACAGGGGCCCGCCTCACCTGTCACTCATCGATTCAAAACATATCATTGGCTAATGATAAGGTAGGCGGGACAGCACAGTGGTACAGCGGTTAGCACTGACTCACACCTCTGGCTCCATGTGTAGAAGTGGCATGTTTTTCCCGCGTCATCGCGGGGTTTTCTTGGGGTACTCCGGCTTCCCCCCACAGTCCAAAAACATGCTGAGGTTAATTGTAGTTGCCAAATTGCCTGTAGGTGCGCATATGTGAGTGAATGGTGTGTGGGTGTGTGTGTGGTGTGAGTGTGAGTGTGCCCTGCGATGGGTTGGCACCCCGTCCTGGGTTGTTCCCTGCCTTGTGCCTGTAGCCTCTGGGATGGGCTCCAGACCCCCTACGAACAATGAATAGGACAAGCAGTTACAAGGTAGACCCTTCTGTTAGTTTTGGAAAGATACTGTATAGCACCCAAAAACACATTAATTATTCTCGTTAAGCTCACGTCTGCTAAAGGGAAGGTGAGCACTTCTGTGCACGAGTTCCTTTGGGTTTTCTGCCCCTCCTTACGCTGCAGTTTAGGAATGTCCGTTTCCATGGCGCCCGCTGTCACCGTCCGCACCGGCTCCGGTATGAAGGCTACAGATGAGCGCTTGCCCTCGGAGGCGCCTTGCTGTCACGACGCCGCTTATGAAGCAAAGGCCACCCTTCATTGGCTGTCATCCCACACGGCGTGACGGTTTCTGGCGGACAAATTAATGGGGCCCTCGTGTAACAGGTCTGAAGGGTCTCAGGGAGTAGTGTGGTTATTTTTGGCTGGCGGGTGACGGAGGGCTTTAAGCCGGCACGGTTTCCGCTGCTCCCGTTGCTGCGAGTCGAGGATGGGCTGCAGGGGTTTGGCGTGGAGGGTATAAAAAATGTCATGCTGATTTAGTGAAAATTAAGATCTATAAATGCGAAAAGCTAGATGGGGGGGTGGTGTGCAGTTCTTTGAGTTACACCCCTGTTCCTGTAATTGGAAGGTTGTAGGTTCGAATCCCATGCATATAAGTTATATTCCACTGGGCCCTATGAGCAAGGCCTTAAACCACCCCCCCCCCCCAAAAAAATGCTCCAGGAGTGCCAGATAAATGTCCTGACCCTACACTCCGACTCCAAGCTTCACTCTGAAGTGTATCTCAAAAAGGACAATAAGACAGTGTACATGTTCTCATAATTGTGCTAATAGAGCTTTGTCTATTGAAGAATGATGCTGAGCATTTTTTATTTATTTTTAACCCTCTTCTGCCTCAGATGTACATCCAGACGACCACGCTGACCATCTCCCTGAGTCTGAGCGCCTCCGTCTCCCTGGGCATGCTCTACATGCCCAAGGTGTACGTCATCATCTTCCACCCAGAGCAGAACGTGCCCAAGCGCAAGCGCAGCTTCAAGGCCATCGTCACCGCCGCCGCCATGTCGGGCAAGCTGACGCAGAAGGGGGGCGACCGGCCCAACGGCGAGGTGAAGACCGAGCTCTGCGAGAGCATGGACACCAACAGTGAGTGACGCCGCCGGGGAGCGAGCCAGGCTGCCACGGGATAGGCGTGGGAATACCGTAAAGAACGGCCCGGCACTTTGGCGGACGGTAGCTTCAGTAGCAAAATATAAACAATTTCATTCATGACTCAGTGTAAACAAACCAGAATTCAACCGAGAAGATGAAGGCTGCTCTGCTGACCTGAGTATTTTATGAGCCATTTATGCCGTATTATGTCTGATTTGAGGAGTTTTTCATTGTTTTTTGCACGTAGTGAAGGTGTGATTAAACCCGCAGCAAATTCTGGTCGAGTCCTCCATCCACTCTGGACTTTAGAGTCCGAGGTGCGTGCCCAGCCTTCTGTCTCTCACTGGGATCCCGTTTCTATGGAGACACCCCAAGGCAGATCCCGAGGATGTGTGATTTCAGATCCCCGGCAGCATTCAGGATCGACGACCTGCCGGTGGCTCCTCGCTGGAGGTCATGGAAACGTATCGGCGTTGCGATTGGCTAATGAGCCGGTCATGTGACTCGGGGAAGTTGACAGTGCAGGGCGTTATGCTCATTTCAAAGGAAATGCAAGGGGCCGGATAAAAAAAACCTTTTGAAGTCACCAGAGAGATTTTGGCTGAGGACCATCGTACTCATACTGTCCATGTTAAAGAGACACTGGAATTCATTATTTTTTTAAATTCAGAGAAACTGAACTTTAATCGGGGCTTGGTGCGTTGAAAATGTAAATTCTCTCAGGTCTGTCAGGGGTGTGGTAAAATCTCTACTTAAGTTTTGCGAATTGTTTCTGAAAGCACATGTAAAACAAGACAGAGCTACATGTATGAGAACCAGCCGATTCTTCACATGAGAAAGATGAAAGTACAAGGATGGTGAGCTGGTGCAATATTTCTGGCACCAAGGGGCAGCTTAGGGGTTAAGTGCTTTGTTTTTAAGTGCTTGGTAAATACCACTTCATTTATTCAGTCACTTTTGCCACTGCCTGCTTTTGAAAACTTTTTTTTTTGGAATGTATTTTGAAGTGAACATTTTTTATTTTTTTTTTTAATATAAATTCTCATTTGAAGGAAATAAAATGTTCCCACTGAGGTGCCTTGTCACACATCAGCATTAGGAGATGCCCCAAAATTTTTGTTTCCATGCGATTTTGGCCAGTTGGATGATAGAGCAGCTTGTGAAAAACTTGCTGTTGAAGGATCATTTTTGACAGGAAAGTGTCCTTTTATACATAACCACAGTAAAACAGAAAGTAAAAGATCTTCCAAAAGGACACAACCATTAACAAGCAAAGCTGGTAACCTTGAAGTCATATAAAACTGTGGCTCTTTACCAGAATTACGGTTTAAATCTGGAGCGACGTTGAGGCTGTAAGCAGGACGGACAGGAAAAAAAAAGAAAATAAATGAGAGTTTTTACATCGGCCATGTTTTCCCCTTAGCAGCCTCCTCGACCAAGACGACGTACGTCAGCTATAGCAATCCCGCCAACTGACGTCCGCCGTGGGGAGAAAATTCCGGAAGGACCACGGATCCATCACTGAGCCGTCAAGTTCGATGAGGACTAGGGTTTCGGGGAGGGGGGGGGGCGGAGGTTTCCCACGCTGCCCGAGCAGAGTTGCTAACAACTTTCGCTTCATACCGGTGACTCAGGATGGTAAAGCAGGCTGAAGCGGGACTGGAGCTCATTTCTGCAGATAAACAAACGGAACAAAACTGACCTCCAGCTTGAGAGACACGGGAGACATTCAAAACTAAAAAAAAAAAAAAACAGCAGGATTAAAAAAAAAAATTCTTTTGAAGACAAAGATTTAAGTATTAAAAAAAAAGAGAGAAAACGTCCAAGTCAACCATGTTTGTTGTTACCCTACCTGTAAGTACTTTTGTGGTCGTGCAGATTTTTCTCCCTTGTCCACTTTTGTCTGACCTGCATAACGAGTTGAGTTCGTCTCTTGTATTGGCCACCGGGGTCATAGTCCTGGGTTGTGAGTCTGTAAATGCAAAGGTTAAAGCATGTTTTTATACAAATAATTTATTTATAATAAAGGAATGTTTTGCAAATGTTCAGCGCTGTTCGCTGTGCCTTTGAGTGGTTGACCCACATCACCCGTGTCGTTTGTCTACTGCACTGACGGTGTTTAATTCAAGAAATATAAGGCATCACATGCAAATATAATACAGCACAATCCTGAATATGTAGACACCTGGTAATACAGTATGCAGTAAGCATGTTTCATTTTGACATTGTTATTGTACCATTTTTGTCAGGATTGGTGGTAAATGTGGTCCAACTTTTCATGTGTCTGTTTTTAATTCTAGACCACCTCACACCCAATACACTGCTGTTTGTTCATTACCCCAGAAACTGAAAGTCATGAATATCACAGTGGAGCTTCCGGATTTCCCCACATGGAGCCGAACTTGTTTAGTAATAATAATGTACATGTATTATTTCTGCCAATCAGCAGTGAGACTGTTGCGATTATGTCTGAAATGAAGGCAGGCTGATAAAACTGAATCCAAGGCGGCATGAAGCAGAAGCAGCTTTTACCACCGGTGAGGACAGCATTACAGAGTCCAAGCTTCAGGTATTATATGCCGCATACACAAACGTGCACGGTGCAGCTGTGTCGTGAAATGCTGTTCCCACCTACTTACTGGATTGTGTAGGATAGTATAAAGTGTGGGGTAGTGATTCTCAACATGTGGGTCGCGACCCAAATTTGTGTCGCGGCAAGTTCGTTCACAACTAGGGTCGCAAGGCCGAGTTGGAAATGTAAGCATTATAAAACCAGAAAGCGCCAGAAAACAAGTGAATATTCAACCAATCCAAGAACCCAAAGCACAGATGCTTAATTTAAAATTCAGTGGTACATCCAATCAGATTTGTACAATAGGCATTGATTGGCGTAAATTGCAGAGTGCACTGTGTGCTTGATCATAGTGTTAATGTAGACCTATATTTGATATAGGGTCGTGACTGAGCTGGCACGGTAAAAATTGGGTCGCGGTGCAAAAAGGTTGAGAACCACTGCTGTGATATAGTATAGCGTGTAGGATTGTATAATGTGTGGTATAGTATAGCTTGTAGGATAGTATAATGTGTGGTATAGTGTAACGTGTAGGATAGTGTAGTGGTATACTGTAGTATAGCATTTAGGATAGTATAGTGTGTGGTATAGTATAGCATTTAGGATAGTATAGTGTGTGGTATAGAACAGCGTGTAGGATAGTATAGTGTGTGGTATAGTATAGCATTTAGGATAGTATAGTGTGTGGTATAGAACAGCGTGTAGGATAGTATAATGTATGGTATAGTATAGCGTTTAGGATAGTATAGTGTGTGGTATAGTGTAACGTTTAGGATAATATAAATGTTGGGAGTAGTGATATGTTGCCTATTCACTCGTCATCTGCATCATGAGTAATGTCAATTGGCGAACACCAGGTTAGCTGGGGAGGTACGCTCTCTCTCTGGAGTCGTCAAGCTTCACTAGTAAGTCACTTGAGTGGTCCATCGCACCTCAAGAACGATGCCATACTTGACAGCTTGAAGAGATAATTTGCATGAAAATCCAACGGAAAGCAAATTCCCAAGCAAATTCAGTTGGTGGAGAAATGCATTTTGTTACTGATGGAAAACGTTGCGTTTCTGTTTTTTTCTGTGACCTTAACTTGTCAATCATTAGCAGTCAGAACCTCATGTCATATGTACAGCAGAAAGTCACTCTCGTCCCAGTTATCTCAAGTAGGCTAATTAAATTAATTCTGCCACTGTCAGTCGGAGCGTGTTCTGCCTGATATCAGAAGGCTTCTCTTAAAATCCAAATTGCCATAGCAAAATGCTTTAGCAGTGAGCCAGATGTTCTTTCAGTGTGGACAGGCGCTGAGGGCATTTTAACCTTCCACGTAGACAGATGTTTGTCACAGTGGTGGCTAGAGGTACCACAGCGGACGTCGGATGTCCCACAAAAAAGGCTTTGATATTTTCTGCTTCAAACTGCAGTCCCTTGATCTTTTGACTCATTAACTAATCTGCCAGCGGCTCTCTCTTAACCTGTTACCAAAAGCCATCGCAAAAAAAAGGACTTTGGGGTGCCATGGTTCGAGACAAATGGGTCTCGCAGGGGATGCAATCCACTCCTATGCAAACACACTTCCAGACGTACCCTGGCAACCATTTTACAGCCTGGGAAACAGAGATAAACAGCTGGGTAATATAATCAGTGGAAACACAGTGGGCGGTAGGTAGTCGGTTTGATTAACCTTGAAGGCAGTGGGGTGGAATTTGAGCAGGGTTGTCCAACTGAATGCTTTCACCTACAATATATCCTTTTTTCCATGTTAGGGATTTTTCAAAGAAAGAAAAAATATTTTTTTTTGTTTTAGATCTGTTAGCATTAAAGTATTGTTTCATGAATTGCTGGTTTGTGGGTACTGGTGTTCATTGGGATTCCTGAAAACCCACAGCTACAACTGCATTTTCCAGGTGGATGAATTCAGATATTTCGAAATGGACGACCGATGGTGAACAGCGGCTTTGAGATACTCTGAAATATATTTCCCTAATTCGGGACAGAAATGGGTCCATGGTGTGCCCCTCTCAGAGCTGTGATTGGTGCTCATCAGTCCCACCTGCTGTGCCGAAATTTGCTGAAACATTTAGACTCATTACTAACCCAACTTGAATGGTGCTTTGATAGTGGGGAGTGAAGGTGGCGATGAGCTCATGAGTGTTAAGCTGAAAGCTGTTGCTTAAAGTCCACTGACTGAATAGCAGGAGGACCTTACAGAAAGGTAATTACCCCCAGACTGCTTCAGTAATATGTTCAGCTATAGAAATTGAGGAGATTGAGTCATTTGTAGGGTGTGGGGGGGGGGGGGATGTGGCAGGTATGGAAGTTGATGCTAATAATTTAGGTTGTGAATGAAAATTAAAGGTGGGTGGGGGGATTATCTGTATCTGTCTGAAAGGTCCCGTGTTGCTGCTCATGGCATCTTCACCTTCTCTGACCCCCCCCCCCTTTTTCATTGGAACAATGATCAAAAGAGCCTCTGGGGAGTGTAGTGAGAACTGGTGGCGTTTATGGAAATGATAATCTGTGCGGTGCGGAGGGGGTCTGGCTGCGACCTGTGGCTGGTTAACGAATCGCTTGGTTCAAGCACGACGACGGATGGGTGGAGGTGCTGACAGATGTACGGTATGCAGGTCAAAGTGCTGCACGGCGTCTGCCGCATCCTGTGGAGAGAATTACAAGCAGGCGCCCTGAAAGGGGGCCTGGACTCCTGGATTTCAGCGAGCGCTGTGTAGGGAGCGCCGTCACAAAGATGCAAGATGGAAGATTCGAGATGCAAGATCTTTATTGGCCATGTGCAACTGGTGCACTAGAATGTTTGTGTCTTCAGCCTGGCTTGGTTATAAGGAGACTAAAGGCAGTGCAACACAATATAACATGGTGCAAAACAATACAACACAGTGGAAAACAATACAACACGGTGCAAAACAGTACAACACGGTGCAAAACAATACAACACGGTGCAAAAAACTATACAACACGGTGCAAAACAGTACAACACGGTGCAAAAAACTATACAACATGGTGCAAAACAGTACAACATGGTGCAAAACAATACAACACGGTGCAAAACAGTACAACATGGTGCGCAAAACAGTACAACATGGTGCGCAAAACAGTACAACACGGTGCAAAACAGTACAAGACGGTGAAAAACAATACAACACGGTGCAAAACAGTACAACACGGGGCAATACACAACATGGTGCATAAAAAATACAATACAGTGCAAAAAAATACAAAATGGGGCAAACCATTACAACATGGTTTATAACAAAACAATACAGTGCAAAACAATACAAGAGGGTGCAGAACAATACAAGACCGCAAAACAACATAACATGGTGCCTAACAACACAATATAGTGCAAAACAATACAAAACACTGCAAAATTGCACAGTTTAAGACTATACAAAACAGTGCTAACCAATACAAGATGGTGCAAAACAATACAAAACCAGACAATATATTGCTGAAGTGCAGGAACTGTGTTATGAACTCATGAGGAACTGCTGTAGGAGACTTTTGTTTGTGTTGCAGGTCTAAGGGGAACCGGCACTTAAACTCACTGGATCAAAGCTTAGGGTGTGGCCTCATGCTCCTGGCCAGTCTCCCTGCTTTTGTTTCGACTCTCCTTCTATACACCTTAGATTTCTGCTCCATGGCTTTTTGTACGGCTCAAAGAAACAAAGGTTCCCAAGGTAACCGTGGACCTGTTGGAGTCTCATCGGTGTTCACAAGTAGGGATGATGAGTCCAGGGTGATTTCACAGTCCCAGGGCATCCTGCCATCTTACCATCAGTCTCTCCACATGTTGGGTGTGAGCAGGCATGTGTGCAAGCTCTGTAGGATGGTGTCTCAGACGACCCGTCAGGAAGTCATGGGGGAGTAAAAATGAATCCTGCATGGAATCCCACAGTGGGCGGGATTACAGTGATCAGCCAGCCGATGCCAGGTTTAACCCATTAGAACCAATGGGAAGAGCGTTAAGCTGTGATTGACGGCACATCATAATCCCACCCACTGTGGCTTTCTAATATGTGCACCTCTAGGATGAATTCTTACTTGCATGCATTAATTATCGTAAGACATGAAACATAAACTGGCTCAATAAACTATGAAAGCAGTACAACATAGTATAGGTGCTTCTATTTGAATTACATTGTAAATGGTAGCACGAGTGTCTTTAAGTCCTAATAAGCTCTTTTATTAGCCATAATTCTTTAATGACACATTGTAAGCGTGACAATAATGGATATTCTTCATCGTGCACGA